TATATATATATATATATATATATATATATATATATATATATATATATATATATACTCCGTGCCGAAAATAAATATATATATATACTCCGTGCCGAAAATAAGACCGTCCGAAGTGAGATTTGAACCACCAATTTTACTTGTAGAAGTGCACGAAATAATTATTGCACCATAGGAGTCTTTTAAGCATGGGTACACACATATATTTAAGTAATTTTAAAGAAACATAACATTGTTATACATGGTTTAGGGAGAGGAGTATGAGTTCACGTGAATCCATATCCCTTAATCTAGATACGCCTCTGTCCGTATTCACGCAGGATCCGAGAAAGGTCGCACCCCAAGGGAGTATTGATGTAGGCAGCCTATCTTAATGCAGGTACGATAACCTAATATATCATGGATATTTGTGGATTAAAAAGGAGCCACATTTTACTTTAAATAGGAATAAAACCACTCAAAGAAAATGATGTGTGAGTACCGTTGCAAATTGATTTATCTAAAGCTGAAAATGCCGTTGCACAAGGACAACCAAATCAATCCTTTTCATTTGGAAATTATTATTCTTCATTTCTTTGCCACCCCTTATTTGATTTTATATTTTGCATCGTGACTAAAAAATAACTCCCAAAAATTAATTTGTCAACGTAATCTATTTACGTCTTTGATTGATATGCTTATTGGAAACAGAAATTAAATAAATATAGTTAACTGAACACCAAGTAATACCAACAACAAGATAATAAGAAACAAGCAATAACCATAACATGATAATAAGAGAACAAGCATTATCAACAACAATATAATAAGAAAATATGTAGTCGGTCAAAAATTAACTTATTTTTAAAAATGTGTGAATTTATAGATTTGTGGAGTATTTAGTTTTTTTTAAAAGTATTTTGTGAATCAAAATTTCAGATAGTTGACATGAGATAGTGAATGTCCAACAGAATCATAATCATGAGATCATTGAGATACAAGTTCATAATAAAACAGTTCAGGTTGTTACACTCTTCGCCATTATACTCTCCCAGATAATAATAATTAAAAAAAAAAAACCTTTTGCATCTCTTCTCGTGGCTCATTTTTACACTGAAGCTATAAATAAAATATGGACACCTTTGGGGTAATATTATGAGAAAGATGGAGAAGATTATTGATGTTTGGCATATTTCGATATGTGTTGATATTACTTTGCCCATGTTTTAACCACTTTTTGATGTTATTTAATCTTTAAAACACCCAACATGGTGTAATTATTGGTTTGATGACTAATTAAGTTATGTGTGACGATTTAAGGTGTTCGGAGTGCAAAATATGAAGAAAAGGTGGTTTAGCTA